GAGTGTTAAACAAATAGAAAGCAAAATATTAGCACTACCGACAAACAAATCAATAGACACGGTTGAGCTGTTTCGTAAATTAGATGAAGCAACTGGTCCTTTAGATACCACCTGGGGTACAGCCAAAGCCTTGTATTTAGGAAATAGCACGCTTATACCAACTAAAACATATATGAATATACACGATCGTGCTCGAAAGGCCAGAGCTTCCAAATTTTGCAGCAAATCAATATATGATGCTTTACAAAAAGAAAAAAAAGCGATTGTTGGCACCTTTGAGGAGCGGCTGCTGCGGAAGTATTTATTAGAAGGCGGACTGAATGGTTTGGGCTTAAAAGACGATACTCGTGCAAGCTTGAAGGACGTTTTACTACGTCTAGGAAGGGAACGCGCAAATTTTAAAAACAAAGTAAACATATCTATGCACAGCTTTGCGCACTTAATTAAAGATTACCAATTGGTTCGCGATTTTCCGTCTACACTTTTGGAAGCGACTATAATTGATAACAACAACACAAATCAAGGTCCTTGGAAGTTTACATTGCAGCCGCAAGTTGTTGATGGGTTTTTAAAACATTGCCCGGATCGAATACACCGTTGGAATATCTGGCGAGCTAATGTACGCAAAGCCTCCACTCATATGGACAAGAGTTTAGAAAATAGCACACACATAGAAAAGATAAGGTCATTGCGAAAACGGCAGGCCAATATTTTAGGCTACCCAAATTACGCTACCATGTCCATGCAGACGAAAATGGCCAGCAGCATATCTAACTTGAAGCAAATATTTTCCAAATTGCTACAATTCGCAGGACCGGCTCAATCCGTAGAAATCGAACAACTACAAAATTTCGCCACAGCTAGTGGCTTTGAACACAGGTTAGACGTCTACGATGTTAGTTATTGGCAGCGCAAATATCTTCTATCGAAGTATAAACTTGACGAGGAGACTCTTCGAAAATATTTCCCATTGCCGAAAACACTCTCTGGGCTGTTTGCTTTTAGTGAAAGTTTGTTTGGCATTAAAATTGTGGAACGTACGGATGCACAGATTTGGCAACCTCTTGTAAAATACTATGATGTTTACGACAACGATCGGGGATTAAAATCAGTTGGTGGCTTTTATATTGATTGTTACTCCAAAGAAAATAAACTTGGAAAAAATAATGGATGGATGGTCAGCATCCGTAATCGTAATAACTCCGCTAAATTGTCGCCACTTTGTGCCCTGATATTTAATTTTACCCCGCCATCAGGGAATGGGCCTTGTTTGCTTAGTATGGATGACTTGCGAATGGTTTTCAAAACTTTCGGTTCGGCATTACAGCACATATTGACAGAAGCTCCATTTACGGATTTAGCTGGCCTGTCAAATATTGAATGGAACGCATCTCAAGTTGCAGGATGCGTTCTAAGTAATTTCCTCGATAATCCGTCTATTTTGAAAACCATTTCAGATAGCTAAAATTGCGGTTCCCTTCCAGATGACTTAGCCCAGAAAACAAAACTTCTCGGGTGATTGGGGTGCAGCCCAATTTCGTCATTTGTATTCTAAAGTAATTGCGGCAGACATTATGGAGGCCTTTGAAGATAATAATGAGGATATGAATTCAGTAGGTGAAAGATTTAAGAAAACATTTCTACCGCTAGGGGGAGCCGTGCCTGCTGCTGAAGTGTTCCGGCGTTTTCGAGGTCGAGATCCGTCTGTCGAAGCTTTGTTAAAATCATTGAACATCTGGCGAGATACGCGAACCCCTCACAGTTTATAATTTGATTTTTAAAACCACAAAATATGAAATTGTTTGAAATTTACTTTTTTTAATAAAGAAATTGTGACGCCGCGGAAATCAACAAAACACCTTCGAAATGTTGAAAAATTGCGCATTCTATACCCGATATACGGCAACGCTAACGCTTTGATTTTTTTATGCTTTTTGTTGATAAATTATATTATATAAATTAGAGAGTCTATAAATTCTAGCATATATTTTACTAAAGCCTTTTGATTTCACCTATCCATGATTTAAATACAACAATAATAGTACCCCAAAATTAATTATATACATGGCTAAGAATTATGAACGAAAAAATTTCACTTTGCTGTTCAATTATTAATGAAATAGTGTTGGAAGCAATTCCTTCATTTCCGTTACTATAGAGGCAAATAATGCGACAAACGCACTGACACTGTGAAACACAATTCGACAAATAAATCTTTCATGAGTGGTTTAAGGAAACCGCTTTGCAGGCGATTCAAACCCTACAGTAAATTAGGCAGCAATGACAAATATTCCTGATATAATCATGAGAACTTCTGACAGTTGAATGGAATAAGGTTCTCAGCTATTAAAGCCAATTCCATCGACTGATTAACAATGTTGTGCAGATGAGAGCGCAGCATTTGTTCATTTTCGGCAGGAAGTAAACTAACGCTACCGAATATCAACTTGAAAAGCGTTAGATACAGATTCGATCTTTCCTCGTTAGTACCCATTTCATGCGTTTTACCCAGTAAATATTCCGCAAATGTTGTAGCAAATGGGGGAGAATTTCACGGGATTAGCTAAGAAAGAATTGGCCACTATTTGCAGTGACGGATTCTTGTGTATGCGTTCAACCGTGTAAACGAAGTGAAGTATTAATAGAATATATATCCAAAGCCTCCATTGCCCAATGAACTAAACCAATATAAATACTGACTTCGTGCGATTGAAAGAGTTTTTTTTTTGCTTGAGTTTAATAACGTCAACCAACGGTGACTAAAATTAAATATTCTATGCAGAGGTTAATTAAAAAAGATGAAGATAAATTTGAACTTACCATTGAAAAATTGCTCATTATTGTATTTGTTGACGTCCCTCCCTTTATCTATAAGCAAGATCTCCTCTTCATTAGTTATTTCACTTTTATATTTTGTACGTTCTCGTGAAAAAAAAGTTCTTTACATAATATATGTCTGAATTTTTTCATTTTGTCTATTTTTTTTTAATCAAAAAATAATTTATTTTACCTCTTACATTCTCTAATCAAAGCATTAGTATTAAAAGCGTCTTTATAGGCTATTTCAATTTGAATATTGGTATCAGGTGGGCTAAGATATGATCGATGTATTCCTTTTGGCTGCTCAGTTCAGCTATAATTAAAATTCGAGTTCAAGTCACTTAGATCGGAACATGTCGGTAAAAATTATCTGCTAATTTTATACAAATACATGTTCAAGTATTGAGAATTGTAAACAAACATAGACGCTTATTCTCACATGTTTGGAATTATTGAGAATCATAGACGCTTACTTTCAGTTGGCGACAAATTTTTATACGCTTATTCTCAGATGTAGGCAATTTTTATTAAAATTATGCGGAAACTTAAACGTATGATAGACGTATGAGACGCTTTCAAGTAGTGACTTTGAAGATCCAATGTAGAGCATTACGTGCTTGTCACCGCAGCAATATTATTATCAAAAAAAAGGAATTGTAATACATTGGTTTTTATATTTTGATATTATTTGACATTTATAATAAAAATAATATGTAAAACAAATACCGTCTATGGAATCTTAAATATTCGAACTTATTCGATTTTTTTTGATACATGCAACAAAGGCCCTTAGATATTACTGATTTATTGATTATTCTAAAACGAAGAGACAATTTTTTAGGAAATTGTTGGTCAACTTTGTTTAAATAATAAATCATATGCATTGAAATTTATATATGAAAAGTCAGGCTAGATTTCTTGAGGTCAAAAATGCGCTGTCGTTTTAATTTATAAGTCGATTTTTTCAGATTTCATTCTTTAAATTTTTGCTTTGGTTTGTAGGGGTGTGCTTTCTGAATTTCGCTATTTTTCAAAGTGTTTACAAGTGTTTAAGACTGTTTAAGACTGTATAATAAGATTTTATATGCTTTCGGTCTGGAATTTCGTTATTTTTTCAAAGTGTTTACAGGTGTTTTCCATACTTTCGCAATTGTCACCAAACTCAGACTCGCTTTTTTAATTCTTCTCAATTATCACCAAAAATATTTTGCAATTGTATGGTGTTTCAAGCGATTAAGAAATTAACAGAGCGAATAAATAAAATATAAAAAAATCCCTTTGTATGAACATTTAATACCTTATGGTAATGAGAGCGACATAATAATGGGCCAGTAAATACAGAAACAGCGGGTTGGTTGTCCGTCGTTATACATACCTCCACTTTGACTTTCACGAAGTTCATTTGCCATGCCCGAGACGAGACCAGTTTAAGTTCACGTCTTCTATTTCATTGGATGGATCCGTTAATATCGAAGGGTGCTGCTGGCAATCTAAAGCATTCGATATACCGGATGCTTTATATATATTTCGAATTTGTGAACGTTTTCAAACTAACAAACTAAAATTTAAGTTATTGAAGTCCAAGTAAGATATTGATTATTTAAATTGGCATTAAAAAGTAAATTACACTAGATTTTGCAGAGATGGCTTAATCAATTCAGAATTTCAAACGAAATGAGTATACCCTTCATCCTTCAGTGGTAGATATAAAAAAATATCTTGTAATGTAAACGCATACGGCAAATTAGTTGCGTTTCGAGCAATTGTTGAATGCGTGAGTGTGGATAATCTGGTCTCTAACAAAGTGTCCTAATTCCAATACGTGCTTAAGGAAATTCTTTTACACAAGTTCTAATATGTTCTAATTGATCATGTCGCTGAATATAAACCTTTTCTCAAACAAATTCACAACTTGTAAAAAATCATAAAAATAGTTTTAAAGGAATTTTTTCTCAAATAAATAGACAATCTATAAAACATCATAAAAATAGTTTCAGAGGAACCTTTGCAGGTTATTGATAGCTGTAAAGTGTTCCGTTTAAAGCAGAACTGTTTTGTACACGTTGGTGAAAGTTTTGTAGAGGTTGATTCCAAAAAATTTCCAAAAATTCCATAAACATCTAAAACATCAAAAGACGGAGCTTACTGATTTAGTGTGCAATTGTAATTATTATTAATTTAAAATTTAAAAAAATGTAAAAAATTTTAAATTATTATTTAAATAAATTACAATTACAATAATAATTGATCTTTGTTTTATTTAGCTTAATAATTATTTATTTTTATTTTTTAACGAGTTGGCAAAATATAAACAATAAAGTGCAAAAAATATTTTTTTCCTTTAAAAATAAGAAGTTACCTAAAATTTAATCCATTTGGCAGAGTCATGCGCTTAGAAATAGACTTTTTATATTTAATATTAGCGCTTTTAATATTAATTATTATGATATATTGATTAATATGAAATTATGTTAAAAGCAAAAAAGCGCAAATACTAATAAGTCATCTTCAAAATAATAGCTATTATAACAAAAATAACTACTTTATTTAAAACTTGGCATTTGTTGGGCAATTTTATTGGGACGTGCTGCAAAAACACCGCTATGATTTAGCAACTGTGCGGATGGCTTTATTATATACGAAAGAACTATCTTTACAAAACTTATGCTAACAGCATTGGGCTGAAAACGTTTGAAGAGACAAATTGTAACGAGTTTCCTTAGGCAGGGTATGACTCAGTCAATCCAGGATCCGTTGCAAGAAAATTTTAATAAATAATCAGGGGAATGGTGTATGATTTCTTAGCTTTATTGGTTCCACTTTACTGGACGGAAGTACAGCGATGTTTGTAGAAGATGGCTGGGGCAAGGAAAAGGAACCAGCGAGGTGACCCGACTTTGTTGCGCGCTTAACGTTTTATTTTCTTTTCTTACGACGTTAGACTTTCACTTTCTGTTCGCTTTTAATATCGCGGGGCGCTGGAAGAAAAGAACCGGATACGTTGCCAGTGTCATAGCTGCCTTGGTTCATCCCTGGTTGGTATGCGAGTACGAAAAAAATAATAAAAAAATATATTCTGAATGTACTCTGAAAATTAATATATTACTAAATGTAAGAAAATATGTTAAGAAAATGGAAAATATGCATTCATCCCCCCTTGTACATCTCCTGAATAGTTTTATACAATTTTTATAGGCGTGGCATTCGATTTTATCCTATTTTCAAAAAAAAAAGAATATTCTCTTTCCATATATATTCAAACAAATGGTTTGGTTGAAATGTAAT